GGGGGCCCTCTACGTACACGGCTCGGGAGTCCTCGGGCCCGGAGGTGGACTCTTCCCCCGGCTCCTGGTCCACCTCCTCGTCGTCGTCCTCGTCCGTGGTGTCGGAGTCGTCGCTGGAGGAGGAGTAGTCCGTCACCTTATTCTGGGGGCGCACGTCGTCCACCGCGCGGAGCTCCTTAGCTAACGCCGTCAGGTCCTAAAAAACGAGGGCGGGCAGCCATTGTTATTTATCTAACCAGCCATAGTTATTTATCTAACCAGACTTTCTTTCTTTCTCCCTCCTCCTCCTCCTCACACAAGCATCCTTCCAGGAAAGCGTGAAGCTGGAAGAGGAAGAGTGGTTAGAAAACATCCACCAGCCAATGAGAAGCCGAGGTGAGGAGGAGCAAAGCCAGACAGAGAAACAGCCGGAAACGGTGAGGCTCTGTTAGTGGATTAGAGCTACCCATGAGGCGTTTGTTAGAGCTGCAAAGATGGAGGAGTTTAGGAGGTTAGGTTTGGAAAAAGAGGGGTTCTTTCGGTCTCTACCCAAAGTTCGTGGCCGTAGACGAGGGCGGGAACGTAGATCGACCGATAAATCGAGAGCTTCGCCTTTAACTCATTGACTGCCAGAGTTTTTGGAGCATTTTGACTGATTTTTCAAGAGCCACAGAATAGTTTGTGCTATGACTATGTAAACACCGAACACACCAAAAGAAAGAGTAGATTTCCTCCTTTCTTCAGAAAAAAATTTTGGTTCCAACCTTATTCCGTTCTTCCTGGACTTGCGTCTCACCGGCGACATGTTCTCTCATAGCGAACCGTTACCTTTTTCTTATTTGCCTACAGTCTATGCTCATCTCCCATCAAAAGTGGCACTGCCCCCTAGAGGGTCAATTTGTTACTACATGCTCTGTCTAGAAGCCTGATATTTACGGACAAGCTTTAGCAGATCGTCCCCCAGCCACTCACGTTGAAAAACATAAAAGACGTCTATAGACGTCTTTGGCAGCCAATGAGTTAAGCTCAGCTCTCTTTTCATCACGCTCCCTACCCCCATTTCCGAACAAGACCCCGAGATACTCGAACTCCTCCGCTTGGGGAAGGACGTCCGCTCCGACCCAGAATAGGCACTCAACCCTTTTCCGGTGATAGAAGATAGAAAGAAAGAAAACAAACCACCTGCTCGGAGTCCGAAAGCAGCCGATGTCGGAGGTCAGAGGTCATGCCATGCCACCCCCAAGATCCCAAACAAGCCCCAAGCAGCACCCCCCCCCTCATCAGGCTCTAGCTCTAGCTCTAGCTCTAGCTCTAGTCCGATCGAGCTAACGGAGCTACGTTCGGCTCACCGCGGGGCGGCCGGACCGGGCCGGGTCCCTCCTGTCCTCCGGCTTTTTCCCGCCGCCCTCCGGCCGCCGGAGGGGCGACCCCCCCGATTTGGACGAGGCTGGGAGGAGGCGTCAGAGGCGTTAGGGTCAGATACAGCGGGGGGAAATAAGTATTTGACCCCCTTTTGCTGATTTTTGCAGGTTTGCCCACTTGACAAAGAATGCGACGATCTACTATTTTAATCATCAGAATCAGAATCAGAAATACTTTAATAATCCCAGAGGGAAATTATTTTTGTTACAGGCTCCATAAGTAAAACAAAGGCATATACATATATATATACAAAATTCCTCATATAATATAGCTAGATATATACATTAAAAAAACTATATGTGTATATATAGGTCAAAATAAGTGGTGGATAATGTCAATGATTCTGATTCTGAAAGAATGCAACGATCTACTATTTTAATCATATGTACATTCTAACAGTGAGAGAGAGAATCCCAAAGAAAATTCCAGAAATTCACCTCATATGAATTTATAAAAATTGATAACCATCTGATGAGGAAAAATAAGCATTCTTTGTAATTCAATTTCAATTCAATTCAATTCAATTAGATTTATATAGCGCCACATCACAACAACAGTTGTCTCACAGCGCTTTCCAAACAGAGCAGGTCAGACCCTACTCTGAAGTTAACTACAGAAACCAAACAATTCCCACCATGAGCAAGCACTAGGCGACACAGGCAAGGAAAAACTTTTAACAGGCAGAAACCTGGAGCAGAACCATGGCTCAGGGTGGGACTGAAAGCGGGCAAACCTGCAAAATCAGCAAAGGGATCGACTACTTATTTCCCCCACTGTAAGAGAAACCTACAAAGTCTGACAGGTGTGTTGTTCTGGTTGTTTGTTTGTTTTTTTGGGTTTGTTTCGGGGACTCACAGCGGGCCCTGAACCTCTCCCCGGAGCCACAGTGAGAACCGGGCTGGGAGCCGGAGTTACTGGAGGAGCTGGAGGAGCTGGAGCTGTTACCGGTCGCTCTGGGGACCAGTTTCTCCACCCGCTCCCACAGGAGCCGCGGCTCCGCCGAGCTGCGGGGGCAACACACGGTCAGGCAGGGGGAGGGAGCCTCCAGGGGGCGCTCAGGAGCAGGGCAGGGCTCTGAAACGGCCCCGAAACTACTAACTAACTATGATCTAAAAGGACTCAAACTATAAAACAGACAATGTAGAGCTATCAGATGTAGGACTGAAATAAAATCATCTATTAGAAGATTTGTTTACTGAAAATCGGCTCAAATATAATAATTTGAAGCTAATTTGAAGCTAAATTCACTTCACACGAGTGTTTTAGATTAATTACAGATAAATTATACTTTAAGGCTCAGTTATCAGTTTAAATTACTATCTGTTAAGTTATTTAGACAGCAATGTCCACCTAAAAAAGAAAAAAACATTTTTTTCTGCATTAAGAAGCAAATTCAGTTCTGCTTAAAATAACTTGAAATGTCCATTGATTGAATTCAGTCGTGACAAAAACCACAACACACTAAATATTAACTTTTTAAGTCACAGTTTTACCTGTGTTCGCTAGCAGATCAGGGCTCTGAAACAGCCCCGAAACTACAAACTAACTACATCTAAAAGGACTCAAACTGGAAAACACACATTGTGGAGCTCTAATCATCTATTAGAAGATTTTTTTTTTACTGAAAATGGGTTCAAACAAACTATAATTTGAAGCTAATTTGAAGCTAAATTCACTTTACATAAGTGTCTTAAACCTCAAAACACTAAATATTTACTTTTTAAGTCCCACTTTTACCTGTGTTCGCTAGCAGGTCAGGGCTCTGAAACAGCCCTGAAACTACAAACTAACCATCATCTAAAAGGACTCAAACTGGAAAACACA